AACAATATTTGTGTACTGTAATAATAATAATATCATTACACAATTGGTATCTGGGTATAGTTCGAATTTTGAAAATATTTATCAAATTTAAAATTTTATTATATAATTTAACTTTTATAGCTAAAGATTGAAAATTTAAAATAAAGTTCTACGTAAATAGGTTGTACATTTATACTGTATTCTCAATGAATTGTGTATTTTTAAATTTTAAATTACGATATTGTGTTTTTAATAACTTATTAACTACATTTAACTATTTTCATTATAATTATTATAATGAAAATTATGTTATCGGTCTATCAATATTATCACATTTTGATAACTGCAAAAAAAGGGGCTAAATGTAGGCAATATTATATACGGACACAAAAAATTTTTTCCTGCGAAGATCCATTCGTGTACTTTATGGTGTTATCATAGAACAATATGGTGTTATCTACATGCTTCGCCGATTTTGGATTTGTTTTTTTTTTTGTACTCGGCGGTCGTCACTGTCTCGTCAATATTGCATTTTTAGTTTTGGCTACACAATACACATTACCTACCTATTAGTGGATTATTTTGTAATTTAGTATAGTTTTTTTGTTTAATTAATTAAATTATAAGTTCAATACAAATCTTAACAGTTTTCTCATTATAACACATAAACATGAATGTTGCAAGAAAACAATTAAACACCATAAAAATTTTTCATGCAAAACTATTAGATACGGTAAAGTACTATTTATATTAGTTTCTTCATGTAAACTTATTAGTTATTTTATACTTCTTATTGATATTTTATATTATAAGAAATAAAATACCCAATAACTTCAATTCATTAATATTTGAAAAAAAAAACAAATTTTAACTCCAATGATAAGGCTTTAGTCGAGACTTAAGTGTACCAGTGTTTGGAAGGAACGGAATCCTGGAACGAATTCCTTTTTAAGAAATGACACGTTGAATAAATTCATTTTTATAAAAAAAGAACGAGAAAATGAATGAGATTTTCAATAAAAAATAACATTTTTAGTTTCTTTCGGGTTCCAATTTTCAAAAAAATTTTTTTTCTCAATGTGTTAAACACCAATTAGTGATCGTTATCGACTATTGGAGTTAATCGTTTAATATAATATTAATTTATACTGTTTTCAACATAATAAATATTGGTGAATACAAAAAAAAAAAAAAATATATTCAATATTATATTCTTAAATTAAATAGTAAATAATAAATGTACTTATAGGCATGTATAAGTATAATTAAAAAGTTAAGTTCCTAAGTATATTCATGCAAAAAAAAACATTAACAGTCTAATTTAACTAATTTGTGCAA